CAGAGGGAAGACCTCTCTCTCTCTCTTTCTCTCTGTGCCTCTGCCTCTCTGTAACTGCATCTCAGATAAATAAATAATAAATCTTTTAAAAAAAGAATATATTGTCTCATTTTTCCCCTGCTTCCATTGAATCTGTCCTTTGTGAGTTTCCCTAACTCACTTTGGTTTTTCTAGCAGTCACTCTGCAATTCTTCATTCTCATGCTCCCTTATACTACGACACAGCAACCCATGTTGAAATGATCCCCATCACGGCTTGGTCAACCTTCCTGATAGGTTTGTCACAGCTCAGACCACCCTGAGCTGAGCACCCTCTCTGGGAGTCCTCTTCCTCTGCCTGCTCCATGAAGGCAGCTCCAGTCTCAGGGCTCCAGCCTTGATTTTTCACTTTTCTAACCTCACATCCCTTCCCACGGCATTTTTTCACGTTTTCTACCCTTCCTATACACCACTTCCAAAATTATATCACGGGACCAACTCTGTCTCCCAAATTCCCATACCTTAAGCACTCTCTCCTATGGGTAATGTCCATCAGGATTCTCCATACTCTTCAAACTGAAATCCCAGATCATAACACATACTTCGAAGTGTAATTTAAAATTGCTCATAAAAATATCCCTGCTTCTCACCCTGTGCCATACACTTTTTATTTTCTTCATATTCTGACTCTGAGCTTGGTCAGATTTGGCAAATAAAAGATGATCTAACGTCACTCAAAGAGAAATCTGAAAAGCATTTGTGGCATTTAGCACCGACCTGGGATGAAAATGGCCATTACCTTACCCTAGTTTTGCTCTCTGCCATTGTCATAGGAGCGGGCACTGGGGGTAGCCCTGCAGAATGAGGCTCTGGGAACACTACCTGCTCACCCCAGCCTCTCCTTGTGAAGCTCTCCTAGGTCAGCCAACGTCCAACTGACCACCAGAAATGTGAACAAGCCAGGCAAGGTCCCCGTGGTGACCTCTCCTGATAGCCAAAGATGCATGAATAAACCCAGTTGAGGTAAACCAAGCCCAGCCCAGATTAGCTGAATTTCCTTAATTCTCAATTCAATATATGTCTACTGGCATATGCCACTGAAGTTTGGTGACTTTGCAACACCGCATTTTGGGGGCAATAGGTTGCTGGCACATAATTATCAGTATTTCCAGCACTAGAGAAGCAGCAGCCCAAGGAAGGAACCCCTGGCAGTCTCTGCAGTCCCTACATCCCTTTCCAAACTCTCTGTGTCCCTGAATCCACACACTCAGCTGGGTTTAGCTTTTCAACCTCCCCACGTCTGACCCCTGCCCTCCCACAGCCACGGCCTGAGGTCACACAGTCGTCCCCTCCACCTCAGACCTGCACCCCATGCCTCTCTCTTGCTCACTTCCCAGTCATCCTCACAGCCACCAAAGTGTTCATTCCCAGTACCGCTGCATTGACAGCATCCCCAGATCCACATCCAGGCTCCCCAGCACACACAATGCCTGCACTGATCTGGTATCTGCCCTGTACTCTGACCCTTCTCTCTGCTTTCTCCTCAAACCCCACCTGCTGTGCTACGCAGGATCCACAGACCCAGCCCCAAATGTAAGCAGGTTGACATGCTGTGTTGTCCACTTCTTCTTTTCACTTTCTGAAATGGAAGCCTCTGTGGATCCTTGTCTGGTGAACTGAAACTCACGCTTGTGTCTATTTCCTCAGGGGTGTTTATGGTGTCCTGGGCAGCATTATTTGACCACACACACACTGTGTGCCCTGCACCCCTAACACCTCTCCATTCAAGTATTGCTGCCTCTTTACATCTCGTCCTCAATCCTGACCATGAAGACCGTGTGTGCCTGGAACACACTGGCCACCCTCCCTCTGCAGGCCCCTCATGTTGGCTCCACTGCCACAGAGAAATCACAGCCCAGATGTCCACAGGGCTCAAGGCCAACTTCCTTCCATCTTAGCTCAGAGAGAACACTCTCAACAAGGACCAGCAGGAGCCCCTGGGGAATACTGGAACCCACCTTCACTTCCACCCACATTCCTGATTCTTTCCTCTTTGCTTTTTCCCTCTGTATCCATCACCCTCTACACTGACTATATCTGTTTATTCATTATGCTTTCTCCATCTCCCTCTCAAGAACAAAAATGCACAAGAGAAGGGATATTTGATTGGCTCAGTGATGAATGCAGAGAGCTTGGAGCAGGACAGAACACATAGTGGGGCTCTACATAATCGTATTTAAGGAATGAATGCATAAGTGATTGAATGGATTTACGACTCCTTCACTCATCTATGAAGTGAGGGGCTCACTTACATGATCCCTGAGGTTCCTCCTACATTAAACACCCCGGGACTCTAAATGTAGATCAAGTCACCAACCTGCCACCTTCAGTTCTAAGTTGGCCCCTTCATAGTAGCTTCCCTCTTTGAAGAAGCAGGAGTACATCCCGTTGTCTGAAACCTGGACATTGTGGATGCGCAGGGCAGCCTGCCCCTGGGTGAGGAAGTCCCTCACCAGCAAGGTCCGCCCTGTGTACTCTGGCATTTGCTCCTCCTTCTGCTCCTGATGGTTCCGATAGATGAACACGGTCTCCAAGAAATGGGAACGACTCCACCTCAGTTCCATGTGCTCTGCACTTATGGCTGGGAACAGGGAGCAGGGCAGAATGGCATCATCACCCAGCACTGCCACGATGGGTTCCGAGGGGCCAATCACCATGAAATTTTCTGTGGACACAAAATGTTGGGGAAGCTAAAGAGACACAGGTTGAGAGGCAGAGAACACACAAACCACTGGGGGAGGAAACAGGCAGACTGGGAACAGGTGCTAGAAGATGTGACCCCTAAGGCATCTGGGATGTAGCAGTGATGACTCTGAACCAGGATGACATCTTCAGACCACAAGGATAGAGACCTGAAAGAAGCTCCCAGCTCCTGGCTTCCATCTGGGCCTAGCCCAGGCCATTTGGGAGGGATTCAAAGGAGGAGGAAGATCTCTCACTCTGACTCTCTTTCTCATCCCATATGGGCAATGGTTTGTGTACCAGATGCTCCATTTCTGTGATCCAGCTCCCCTCTAACTGCCTAGGAAAGCAGCAGAATATGACTGAAATCTCTGGGCTCCTGTACCCAGTGGGAGTCCCAGAGGAGGCTCCTAGATCCTGGCTTCATCCTGACATAGCCCTAGTCATTGCAGCTATTTGGGGAATGAATAAGCAGGTGGAAGATCTCTCTGTCTCTTCTTCTGTCTGTAACTCTACCTTTCCAATAAATGAATACTTAAAAAAATCAACTAATTTAATAAAACACCTGCAAAACCCTCAGACAAATGTCGAGATCCTGTTCACTCACTTTATGGCTCAGTGACTTGTAAATTTTTAATAACAAAAAACAGTTGGGGGAGCCCCATTGCCTTTCTAGACTCTGTGACTCAATGAATCTCATCCCATCCTGACTGAGAGGGCTGGGGGCTCCACTCATTCCCTGAAGACCCCAGGGAGGGACAGGGACAGACTCACCTGCAGAGCCCCACGTGGGCAGCTGGGCGAGGAGAAGCAGGGAGGGGAGACTGCAGAGCAGAGAAGGGCAGCAGCCGTGCTCCATGTCCTCAGAGCTGGGGAGAGAGGCGGGGAGGAGGAGGCCTGGGCCAGCAGGCAGGTCAGCCCCAGAGCACCAGCAGGTCAGGGTCCTCCCGTCAGCCCTCACAGCAGCAGAGCCTTCCCTACAGCCTCAGCACGCCAGCACCGTGGGGCCCACAGGATCCCGACAGCACAGACAGCTGGGCCGGGGCTCTACCAGCCCTTCTGGGGAGACTGTGGTGCCAGAGAACCCTCAGGGCAGCCTGGGGGAAACAGCCCCTCCTCTTCCACTCCAGTTGAGGCCCCTCTACCTGGAAAATCAGGTCTCTTCTCTCTCAGCCCTGGGGCCCCATGGAGGAAACCATGCATTATGCACACAGTGCCCAGGACCCCCTCCCACCAGGACAGAGGACCCTGATTCAGGCCACTCACCCTGAAGGACGACCACCTCCTGCTTGCCTGCAACTCTTTAACCTCCAGTGGTGACCTGGGTGTCCCTGAGAAGTGTCAGAGACAGACCCATCCTCACCGAGCCTGTGCTGCCTGTCCCAGGGGCCCGGCACCTGTGGCATCCCTGGCTGTGGCGTTTACCTAAATCTGACCCCACCCCCAGCCTCTTACTCCACAGGCCAAGGTCCTGGCCCCACATTCAGCAAGTTCCCAGGCAAGTTCCTGCTGACAGACAAATCCTCACTCTCTCTACACTTGAAGATTTCTGCATGAGCATTTAATGACTCAGGTTGGGGGCAGGGCCACAGAGAAGGGAAACCATGCCTTCATCAGGAAAAGTTCCCACACTCTGTTTGTAAGGAGGGAGAGGGAGGCAGCTTTGGTATGGTTAAGGATGGGCTCAAGGGCCTCTCTGCTGGGCTCCTTGCAGGCTCGGCCACCCTGGGTGACTCCAGTTCTAGCGAGGTCCTTGGCCTTCCTGGGCTCAGTGTCCTGAAAAGCAAGTGGGGGAGGTAACAGCAGCCCCCCCTCCAGTGCAGGGAGGGGTCCATATCTTTGTGTCGCTGCAGTCACCCCGTGAGGTTAGAACAGGGCCTGGTCCCAGCAGACACTGAGGAGCAGAAGTGAGAGAAGTGAGTAAAGGCTCAGTGCTCACTGTTGTCCTGGTCTCCCTGGACTGAGACATCCTCAGCCGCCCCCTCCCACTGCCCTGTGCCCCACCACACTCTCAGCCTCCTGCCCAGCCAGCTGCTCCTGCCTTCCTCCTCCTCCCCCACAGGCGTCTTCAAGCCAGCTCACCTGCTCCTCCTTCCTCCCAGCTGGGAAAGCTGTGACTTCCTGCAGGGCCTAACATTCAGCAGCTCCAGAAACTTCAGAGCCACAGAGACCCCAGCAGACTGCAAATCTCAGCGCACAACCTCTGCTTCTAGGTCCAATGCTGGGGCTCAGGCATCCTAATCCAATGGAGGCAGTGGGCTCCCAGGAGACCGGAGAAGCAGCAGAGCTGGCACAGGTGCAGCAGCCTCTGCAGAGGCCCTGGCCCTGGGGCCCCACCAGGCCCTCCCAGCCAGAAGAGCCAGCCCCTGCGTCTCCTTCCACCATCTACAGTGAAAGCTTGCAGAAGCAGCCTGGGCAGGGAGTGCCCTGCCCTGTGGACCTCGGGAGTGCCCTGCCCTGTGGACCTTGGGAGTGCCCTGCCCTGTGGACCTCGCTCCCTGTTGTCAGCAGGAGACAGCACCACAACTGCCCTGGGAGTGGCTGCAGCACAACCTGCTTAGAGCTCACAGTGCCTCAGCCCCTCCCCCTCAGCCACCACCTGTCCCTGCCCAGCACCGAGACTTCCCCAGGCTGAGAGATTTTTGGGAACTTCTATGAAAAGACAGTAGAAACTAAATTTCAGCCCATGACTATTTAGTGTCAGGATCTGAGCTACACACAGCAGATGCCTGCAGCTCCTGTCACAGCTGGGAGCAGATGCATAGGACAGGAACCCTGCACCTCCTGATATCAGGAACTTCCTACGGGGTGGAGGGCTGGAGCTGCAGAGACTCTCCCTCCCATTCCCCCAGCCCTCACCCCAGCCTTCACCCCAGCCCTCACCCCAGCCCTCACCCCCAGCCCCTCCATTCCCCCAGCCTCACCCCAGCCCCAGCTGCAGACCACTCAGAGTGAGAAAGAGCTGCCAAGAGCCTTGGACCCTCAGCTGCCCCCATGATGACACCACCTGGACACTGATCTCAGCCTGCAGCTCAGCCCTTGCTTTGCTTATCAGGCGGGAGGGGTGGGAGGAGAGGGAGTGCCCTGGCCAAGGTCAGATTTTCTCTAAGAAACACTTTCAGGACTCAAAGAACTCCAGCAGGAGAGCAGCACACAGCCACTCCTCCCGCTCCCCGCTACCAGGACCAAGGCCCATCTGCTTTAACATGACACTAAGCACCAAGGGGTTCTTACTTAAAGTATAAATTATCCTAATGCTGTTGAGTTAATATTTTACTTCCTGTTAACAGACAGGTCATGCCTCTTATCTTAGTTATTTCTAGTACTTTCCAAATAGCTTTCAATAAATACCTAAGCCATAAAACAATGGTTAACCCAAAGTATATTAAATGTATTAGGGGCTGGCACTGTGGTTTAAAGGGTAAAACCGCTGCCTGCAGTACCAAATCTCATACAGGTGCCAGTTCCAGTCCCAGCTTTCCACTTCTGATCCAGCTCTCTGCTGATGGCCTTGGAAGGCAGTGGAGAATGCCCAAATGCTCGGGCCCCTGCACTCACAAGAGAGACCTGGGAAGCTCCTGGCTTTGGATTGGCCCAGCTCTGGCAGACACAGCCATTTAGGGAGTAAACTATTGGATGGAGGACCTCTCTCTCCCACTCTCTCTCTCTCTTCTCTCTCTGCCACTGTCTGTCACTCTGCCTTTCAAATAAATAAAGTAAATATGAATAAATATTAGATTAAAAATAAAATAAAATATATTACAATTAAAAACCACTATATTTGCAAACACAGCCCGGAACCAAAGGAAGAAGCAGAAGCTGTCAGCCCTGCAGAGGGCCAAGAGCAGAAGGACCAGTCATAGTGGCTGCCCGGCCAAAGTGGGTCCATCACATACAGGAAGACATCCTCGAAAACCAAGCACTCCTGCGTGGCCCCCAGCAGCTCCCAGGCCCCCCCCGCCCAGAGCCTGGCTGGAAGCCAGGCTGCTGGCCCCGCCTAAGCCAGTGAACTGGCCTTTCCTGAAGCCTTGTGCTCAGCTCACTGCCATCGTGGACAGAAGCCAGTGGCCTGGCTGCACCATTTCTAAGTTCCACTCGCATCTGTTCCTATTTAGATGAATGCTTGGGGTGGTATTATTTTTAAAATAAACTTTCTCTTTTTAGCAGCAAAAAAAAAAAATACTATAACTGGGGCCGGCACTATGGCATATGGGTGCCAGTTGATGCCCTAGCTGCTCCTCTTCCAATCCAGCTCTGCTTGGATCCCTCCCTGCACGTGCTTGGAAGACTGAGAAGCTCCTGGCTCCTGACTTCAGATTGGCCCAGGTTCGGATATTGTGGGAGTGAACCAGTGGAGGGAAGACCTTTCTCTCTGTCTCTCCCCCACGACTTTTGTACCTCTGCCTCTCAAATAAATAAAATCTTTTTAAAAATACTATTGTTGATGGAAAGGCTTCCATCCTTTTCTTTTTTATTTTTAATTTATTTATTTGAAAGACAAGGAGGGAGGGAGGGAGGGAGGGAGGGAGAGAGAGAGAGAAACTAGCTCCCACCCCTTTTCACTCTAAATGCTCACACTGTTGCCAAAGACAGGAGCTAGGACTCAGTCCAGTCTGCCATGTGGTGGCTGAGACCCCATATGTGAGGCATGACCACTGCCTCTAGGGTCTGTGTGAGGAAGAAACTGGATCCAGGATCTGCAGCCAGATATCGAAGCCAGGCGTGCTGTGGACGCAGGTGTCTCAACCTGGGTCTTAACTGCTACCCAAATATTCGCCTTATTCATTGCTTTTCGCAGAAGCACAGTCTTAAAAAAAATTCATTTACCTTGATAATGTTAAGATAAAGATCTTACTGGGTTATCCTTGCTGGGAAAAAGTATAAAGAACTGTTTTCTACTTTCTCCCTTTTTGAAAAAAATGAAAAATGAGAAGACACACACACACAGTAGTATTTCCTGTTTCAATTTTTTTCTTTTTTTTAAACATTTATTTAGTAAATATAAATTT